TATAAATATAAGAAAATTTTAAAAAATAACGTTAATTTTTTAATTATTTTTTTTTTTTTCTATAAATATTTATAGATTAAACTTTAAATATTATGTTTAAAATTAGCATAACAACCTTGTGGTAAATTTGTTTGTTTTTTAATGTTTTTTTTTTATAAAAAAATCAATAACTAGTGCAGTTTTTTTAACATTTCTAAGCTCCCATTTTTCGTTTTATTTGCTGTTACATAAAAACATTTAAATTGTAAGCAATTAACTGGTTTCAAATGTTTCTAACAATTAATTGTTAGGATTTTATTACTCTGCAGCAAACCAATTTTTCTTAATAGTGTTTCAAACTAACATATTATTTTCTTCATTTTACAAAAATCAAATGTTTTGTTTTTTTTTTGTATTAATTAATATTTCATTTGAAAACTATTAAAATTTACAAAGAAACATATTGTTACCACATCATAACTACAATTTCGTTTTGATATACAACTTCATACAAAAATATTTGCATGATTTTTTTTTAAAAAAATTGTATTTCAAACTGTTGTTTTTTCAATTTTTTCTTTAAACTAACGAATCACTAGCTAGTTTGTCTGTCCATCTCTATATATTCAATGGGGTCTATATGAATGAAGCAGCAAAAATAAAACCGGACTATGTGGATTGCAACGCTCTTTATTTTTTTCGTTTTATATATATTTCTTTTACTTCTTGTCAATTCAAGCTGATTTTATGTAATCACTCGGTTCAGGCCAAAGTATGTTTTTATTTTATTATTTCGTTTTTTTTTTCTTCACTTCAGTTTAGTTTTTTGTTTATAATAATCATAATAATAATAAAACTAAGAAAAAAACAACAACAACAACATTAACTTAAATCATAATAAAATTTGTTACACATTAACATTATGTTAAGGTTTTTTTGTTAGCCGTTTTCTTCTATCAAGACTTGCAGTTCGAAATGAACTCGAGGTGAACTTTTGAACTTTGTTTTAAAAAGCAACAGTTTAACACTTTAAAGGCTTTAATACATTTAAATGTTTTCCCTGATTAGTGAATAAACTAAGAAAAACAAAACTGGTTTAATTTTTTTTTTTAGTTAAACAATTAAAATTCGAAAACAATTACAAAATAACCATGTAATAGTTAAAATTGCAGGAAAAATCTAATAAATAAAAAGTAAACATAACAAAGCTGCCACTGCAAGTAAAACAATAGACGCCGTTGCAAAATTTGCTCGTCTTAGAAGTTTGTTTTTAATGCTAAATAACAGGATGTCACAAAATTAATTTGTCTTAAAAGGAAACTTTGCAATAGAAATTTCTCTTTAAAGAAGTTAAACTAATTTGTCTTTGGAAGACTTCGCGTCAATAGATATGTGGTTTTGAAATAAAATGTGTTTTTGTAAGACTCCCAAGATATATATCTTAAGAAAAAGACACTTCTCTAAAGAAATTGTTTCTCCAAAGTCACTGATCTACACAACAGTGTGTTTTAAAGATACAAATCTAAAGTAAAATGTCCTCCACAGACTTCAGTCTGTGTCAGAAGATCATATTTCTGAAATTAATGGCAATTCTCTGTAAAACTCTTTCTTCCAAAGTCACTGATCAACAGCCTATCTTAGATGGCTTCCAGATATGTCTTCAGGAAATTATCTTTGAAACACAATTATCTAAAGAAAAGTATTGTGCTCCGACTATTGTCGAAAGAAAACAGCTTTTCAAGATTACTGATCTATAGAAAATATCATGTAAAGTCTGTAGCCGACAGTAAGCAGTATTTTAAGCAACATTTCTATAGTATTCTCAGAAAAGGCTGGTGTATAGAAAGGTAGACTTAAGTGGGAACACTCTGACATATAGAGAAGTGTTTTAAACAAGATTTCTGCCTCTTTATAGACTTAAGTATAAAAGGCTCTATAAAAGCTTTAGTCTTAAAAGAAATAAGAAAAAATTTCCTTGCAAAGACTCTTGTATATGGAGAAACATATTTGAAAGACTCTTATCTATAAAGACTTATTTTGGGAAGCTTTCATTCTTTAAGAGAAGTATGTATTCTTTAAGAGAAACGTTTCTTTCAAAGACTTTAGTCTATATTTGGAGTCTTCGGTAGACTTTAGTCTATATAAAAATGTCTTGAAAAGACTCTGATCCATAAAGACGAGTTGTGGGAAGACTCTGACATATAGAGAAGTTTTTTTAACAAGACTTCAGCCTCTTTATAGACTAAAGTATAGAAGATTCTATAGAGTCTTTAGTTGTAGGAGAAATGAGAAGCTGTTTATGAAAGATTTTTTAGAAAGAGTTCATTCTTTAGAAGAACTGTATTTAGAAATTAGAATAGAATCCTGAACACAAAATTTTTCTAAAGAAGAAAATTTTCTAAAAAAACTATATTGTTCTATTAAAAGAAGACTGGTTTGACCTTTTAAAAGAAAATCAAGGACGAGAAGAAACTTTTTGATAAAAAAAACTGCCTCATAATGAACATATCTAAAGGAAACTGTCTAAAGAAGGCATTTTATGAAAAAAACTGCCTGGGAACTGTCTAAAGAAGACATTTCTTCAAAGAAAATTTTTCTAAAGAAGACATTCTTCTATTGAAAGATGTCTCTTTTAAAGACTGTTTAAGAAGACAGCCTTTAAATGAAAACTGTCTTGAGAAGACACTTTATGAAAAGAAACTGCCTGAGAATGGACGTATCGAAAGGAAATTGTGCAAAGAAGACTGTTTAAGAAGACACCTTTATAAAGAAAACTATCTTGGGAAGATACTTCATGGAAAAAAACTGCCAGGAAACTGTCTAAAGAAGATATTCTTCTATTGAATGATGTCCCTTTTAAAGACTCATTAAGAAGACAATCTTTTAATGAAAGCTGTCTTGAGAAGACACTTTATGAAAAGAAACTGTCTGAGAATGGACGTATAGAAAGGAAACTGTATAAGAAGATATTTTTCTGCTTCTATTGAGAAAGACTGTTTAAGAAGACACCTTTATATAAGAAAACTGTCTTGGGAAGATACTTTATGAAAAAAACTGCCAGAAAACTGTCTAAAGAAGATATTCTTCTATTGAAAGATGTCTCTTTTAAAGACTCTTTAAGAAACTGTCTTCAGAAGACACTTTATGAAAAGAAACTGCCTGAGAATAGACGTATCGAAAGAAAACTGTCTAAAGAAGACATTTTTTCTGCTTCTATTGAAAGAATACTGTTTTAGAAGACACCCTTTTAAAGAAAACTGTCTTGGGAAGGCACTTTATGAAAGAAACTGTCTGAAAACTGTCTGAAGAGGACATTTTTCTAAAGAAAACTTTTTAAAGAAGGCATTCTTCTATTGACAGGTGTCTCTTTTAAAGACTCTTTAAGAAACTGTCTAAAGAAGACATTTTTTGTGCTTCTATTGAAAGAATACTGTTTAAGAAGACACCCTTTTAAAGAAAACTGTCTTGGGAAGAACCTTTATGAAAAAACTGCCAGGGAACTATCAGAAGAAGGCACTATTCTAAAGAAAACTGTCTATAGAAGACATTCTTCTATTATAATGCTTCTATTGGAAGAAGAGTATTTAAGAAGACACCTTTTTAAAGAAAAATGTCTTGGGAAGAGACCTTTTTAAAGACACTGACTGAAAACTGTCGAAAGAAAACACTTTTCTAAAGAAAACTGTCTAAAGAAGACATTTTTCTAAAGAAAACTGTCTAAGGAAGACATTCTTCTATTACAAACTTACATAAGTGTCAGTTTTTTAAAAAAATCTTTCTGAAGACGAAACTTTTTGAAAGTAAACTGTCTGAAGAAGAAGCTTTTGTAAAGAAATTTATACTTGGGTTGAAATTTTTGAAAAGAAAATGATCTTGAGTAGAGACTTTTTGAAAGAAACCTAAGAAGAAACTTTGTTAAAGAAAACTATTTTGAGACGAAACTTTCCTTAAGCAAACTGTCTTAATAAGACATTTGTTTATAGAAAATGGTCTAAAGAATTACTTTTTTAAAGAAATTTGAACTAGAGTTCTAAATTTTATAGAGGAAATGATCTTTAGTTGAGAATTTTCGAAAGAAATCTAAGGAGAACCGTTTGTTAAAGAAAACTGCCTTAAGATGAAACTTTTCTAAAGAAAACTGTCTTGATAAGACATATGTTTATAGAAATCGGTCTAAGAGCGTTACATCCTAAAGAAAAGGGTCTTGAAAAGATATTTGTTTATAGAAATCAGTCTAGAGAAATTACTTTTGTAAAGAAATTTGAACTAGAGTTCAAACTTTTATAAGGAAAATGATCTGGAGTTGAGAGTTTTCGGAAGAAACCTAAGGAGAACCGTTTGTTAAAGAAAATTGCCTTAAGATGAAACTTTTCTAAAGAAAACTGTCATGATAAGATAATTGTTTATAGAAATCGGTCTAAAAACGTTACATCCTAAAGAAAAGGGTCTTGAGAAGATATTTGTTTATAAAAATCAGTCTACAGAAGTTACTTTTGTAAAAAAATTTGAACTAGAGTTCAAACTTTTATAAGGAAAATGATCTGGAGTTGAGAGTTTTCGAAAGATAACAGTCTTGATAAGATATTTATAGAAAACCTCTTGAAAATTATGTTTTAACAAAAAGTTTTTTATTGAAATTCCCCTCAAAAAACCCTAAAACTTTGAAAGATATTAATCAGATATTTAACTCCCTTTATATTAGTAACACAACAAAAATGATTATGACGAAATATTTGTTTGAAATGAATGACCTTTAAAATGGAACAATAACAACTATATAAAAACCCTAAAAACAACTTTTGATAAAACACATTAAAATGACAATTGCTAATAGCAAATCAAACAAGATTTAAACGCTAGTTTTGCAACATTGATGGTTACAAAAAAGCAACCTGCCAAAACACTTTGTTAGAAGTGTAAAGAAGCATTTCAAAGAGATTTAGAGCTAACAGGTAGTGGAGGAAAATTTTTGTGGAAATTTTTTGTTAAACAGGTAAAAACAGGTGTTCAGAAAGTCTTACCTTGAGGCTGGATTTTGTTCAAATGTTTGTTTTTAAAGTAATCCAAATAATATTTTGAAAATTACAGGGGATTCGTTTTTTTTAGCGATTTTATTTGAAATTTATAGCTTTTAAGAAATATTTATTTTCTTCTTTTTCTTTTTAATTAAAAGAAAACATGTTAATTTTTCTTTTTTTCCTTTAACTCGTTTTTTTTTTTTAATTTTTACACTTTTTATTTGATTTTTTTTTATAATATTCAAAAATTTGTTTAAACGTTACTTTTCTATGACGTCTAAACGTTGTTTTATTTTATTATTAAATGCCTTCACTTTTCTTTAAAAATAACAAAATCGTAAACCGTACGCTTGAGCGTACCAACAGCAACTGACAGTTAAGTTTAAAACTCTCCCAAAACTGATCGTTAGTTAAGAGTTAAAGAGTCTTTTAAAACGTCGTTTACACAAAGCAAAACAAAAAAGCACGATTTACACGATCGCTAACTAGGTATGCTTAGCTTAGCTACATTAGCTTTATAATTTAAATAAATTTTTCTTAAAATTTATTAAAAAATAATATTTTTAAAAAACTTTTCTTAAATTTTCTTTTAATTTCTAGATTTTTTTCAGATTTTTCTTTAATTAAAACACTTTTTTATAAATATTTATTTGCACCAAAGTTCGTTTTAGTTTTGTCTTCTTTTTAACTGGGAAAGTAGGTTTTTAGCAGTTAAAGCTAAACTTGTCTCTAATGTAAACCATATTAGTTTGTTATTTATTTATTTCTTTTCTTTGTTTTAGTTGCCAATTTTATTTTAGTTTTTCTTTTTCAAATTTACTTAAGCCGTTAGTTAAGTCTTTTCTAGTTGACGTGCACACTTTTAATAACAGCAAAAATGCGTTTATTTTGAAACTAACTATAAAATTGCACTTCAAACGATCTCTCTCTCTCTCTTTACCACTCTTCCACTGTTTTAATAAAATATCACTCTTCTCTAATTTGCTTTAAACTCTCTCTCTCTCTCACTCTCTCTCTCACCTTAAAAAGAAATCAACAACAAATCACTTATATTATTACAGGTGCTTGCTGGCTGATCATGAAAATTGTTGTTGTTTTTTTCCATCATGATCATTTTGCCATTTTCACGCATTATTTCTTTATATTTCTTAGAAAATTTTCATGAAAAATGTTTTTTTTTTTTTTGTGAAAAACCGGAAAATATTTAATTAACGAAAGGTTTAAAAACAACAACAAAAACGCACTTGCTTTTAAGGAAAATACTTCTTTTATGACAGGGTGTTTCTTTCTTAAAAGAAAGGCACCATTTTTTTTTTTTTTTTTTGAAAACAAAGAAGTAATTCCAGAGAATTCTAAAATTGTGTAAAAGTAGCAAAATGTTGTAAAGGAACGAAATAATAAAGAAGAAAAGGTGTAAATCGCGTTATAGCTCAAACAATAGCTATTAAATGGATTATTTGGAATATTAAAAGGTGATTTGGGGTAAATGTCAAGAAAAGTCTCTAAACAAAGCACTTGACTCTAGGGAAAAGTGTTGCCCTAAAAGAGTTTATATAAGAAATCCCAAAACACTTTGCTAAAGAAAAATGATTTTACACTAAACTTTTCAAAGAAAAAAAGACACGGAAGACACAGAAAAGTATCTTCCAAGACACAAAAAAGTATCTTCTACGACTCGGAAGCTAAAGAAAAGTAACTTCCTAGACACCTCACTAAAGAAAAGTAACTTTCGGGATACTTTACTTAAGACAACAGACTTCCTAGACACTTTACTAAAAACAAATCACTTCGGAGAAACTTTACTTAAGAAAACTATATTCCCATAAGACACTTTACTTAAAAGAAGACTCTTCTGAGCTACTTTACTTAAGAATATAGTCTAGCCAAGACACTTCACTAAAGAAAAATCTAATCCCAAGACACTTTATCAGAGAAAAGTATCTTCCTAGATACCTCACTAAAGAAAAGTATATTCCGCGATACTTTAGTTTTTAGAGACTTCCTAGACACTTTACGAAAGAGAAGTCTTTACAAAAGAGAAGTCGAGACACTTAACTATAGAAAAGTGTCTTCCAAAGACATTTTACTAAAGAAAAGTTTCTTCCGAGACACCTTACGAAAGAATGGAGATTTTACAAGAACTTTACTGAAGGAAAGAGTCTCCCGAGATACAAAAGACATGGAAAAATATCTTCCTAGACAACTCACTAAAGAAAGATATCTTTCGAGGCACTTTACTTAAGAAAAGAGACTCTTTCTAGACACTTTACTAAGATGCTTTATGGAAGAAAATTGCCTTCCGAGACACCTTACTAAAGAAAGGAGTCTTTACAAGAACTTTACTAAAGGAAAGAGTCTTCCAAGGTACAAAAGACACGAAAAGTATCTTCCTAGACACTTCACTAAAGTAAAGTATCTTTCGAGAAACTTTAGTTAAGAAAAACGACTTCCTAGACACTTTACTAAAGAGAAGGCTTTTCCAAAACACTTTACTAAAGGAAAGTGTCTTCCTAAGACATTTTACTAAAGAAAAGTTTCTTCTCAAGATGCTTCATTAAAGAAAACTACCTTCCGAGACACCTTACGAAAGAATGGAGACTTTACAAGAACTTTACTAAAGGAAAGAGTCTTCCAATATACGAAAGACACGGATAACTATCTTCCTAGACACTTTATTAAATGGAAAGTATCTCCTCCAAGACACGGAAGACACAGAAAAGTGTCACTTTGCTAAAGAAGAGTTTCATCCCAAGACACCTCACTTAAGAAAAGTATCTTTCGAGGAAGAGACACTTTATTACAGAGACGTATCTTCCGAGACACTGTACTGATTGAAAGTGTTTCCCAAAAGCATTTTAAAGAAAAAAAGTCTTCCCAAAAGACGTTACTAAGGAAAGATGTCTAAAGAAAAGTATCTTCTTGGCCACTTTTTTATCTTTACTAAAGAAAACATTCTTTCAAGAAAGAACAAGTATCTTCCTAAGTTAGTTTTCAATAGAAAAGAATCTTCACTGACTACAGTTCAATCTGTAGTCCAGACTATAGATCAGTCTATAGATAGTACAGACTATAAATCAGTCTACAGTCCAGCCAATAGATCAGTCTACGGTCCACACTATAGATCAGTCTATAGTCCAGACCATAGATCACTCTATGGTCCAGACTATTGATCAGCAAATAATCCGCATTAGTCTATAGTACAGACTACAGATCAATCTATAGTCGGGGCTATAGGTCAGTATATAGTAATGTATATAGTATATACAGATCAGTCTTCAGTACAGACTATAGATCAGTAGACTTTAGATTAGCCTATAGTTCAGACTATAGATCAGTCTATAGTCCAGACTACAGATCAGTCTATATTTCAGAATATAGATCAGTCTATAGGCCAGACTACAGGTCAAAATATTCCACACTATAGATTAGTCTATAGTCCAGGCTATAGATAAGTCTATAGTACAGAGTATAGATCAGTCTATAGTCTAGACTAAAGATCAGTCTATAGTACAGACTATAGATCAGTCTATAGTACAGACTATAGATTAGTCTATAGTCCAGACTATAGATCAGTCTATAGTGCAGACAATAGATCAGTCTATAGTCCACACTATAGATTAGTCTATAGTCGAAACTATAGATCAGTCTATAGTCCAGTCAATAGTCGAGACTATAAATCAGCCTATAGTCTAGACTATAGATCAATCCATAGTCTAGGCTATGGATCAGTCTACAGATTATAGATCTGCCAATAGTCCAGGCTATAGATCAGTCTCTAGTCCAGAATATAGATCAGTCTTTAGTCCAGACTATAAATCAGTCTATATAGATCAGTCCGCACTATAGATCAGTCTATAGTCCATACTTTAGATCAGTCTATATTCCAGACTGTAAATCAGTCTATAGTCCAGACTATAGATCAGTCTATAGTCCAGACTATAGATCAGTCTATAGTCCAGACTATTGATCAGTCTATAGTCCATATTATAGATCAATCTATAGTGCAGAAAACTCTTGTTTAACTCTATTTCCCCTGAAAAACTTATTAATATTTTAAAAATTTATAACCAAAAACTATAAATCATTTTATTAATTAGTTAGCGCCCGGCTAAATAATAAAAATTTATTTATGAAATATTAACTTTTGCTTAAAAAAAACTTATTACAAAGTATTAGTTTATTACCCTTTTTTTCAATATTTTGCAAAATTTCTAAACAAACTAGTATTATTATGGTATTTTGTTTGGTTTTGAGTAGGTAACTATTCAATATTAATGAAAAAATTGGAAAAAAAAACTGAAAAATAAATAGAAAATATAGCAAGACAACAAGCAACTAAACATACTTTTTAACTAATACGGTCTACTTAACAATTGCAAACGATTTAATTTTATTTTCATATGAAAATTTTACACCGATGTCTGCGTGCAACGGCCAGAAAAGCAGAAGACATTGAAAATTTTTGTTTAAACAAAAAGAAAATTAGAAAAATTCTTTTTATTTCCTAAGAAATTGTTAAGTAAACTCTGGGTATTGGTGATCTTTGGTTCCGCCACTTTAGGCCGTTCTTATGACTCTCGCTGTAATTGAACAGTTTATTTTATTTACATACACAAGCTCTTCTAACCGCCACCACCACCACAACGATCACGATCACCATCATCATCATCAGCACGTACTTAAAGTACGTAGTACGTTGCATAGAGCGCAGATTTGTTTGGTTTTTTAGCGGAAATTTCAATAAAATTCATTTGGTATATATTTCATCAAACAATTATATTAGAGAGCGAGATCCAAACAACAATAATTCCAGCTCAATGTATTCTACAGACAGACAGACAACCAAACTATATATCAAAATAACAACAAATAATCAAAAAACGCAAAACAACAACAAATAAATTTAGTTAAAGAGTAGTGAGTCCAAGAGTGTGTGTGTTTGTTTGTTTGTTTCTGTGCAGGAAGATTAAACTCGTGCAAACTAACAAAAATGTAGACAAAATATTATTAAATAGTTGATAAATTTGATTTAATTTAATGAGGAGAAGTGATAATTTTATTTCACACAATTACCATCATTATCATAATAATGATGATCGTTAGTAAATGAACGAAATATATACCATTATGGAAGCAT